GTTTGAACCCACCACTTCCGGTATATGGGGCCAGCGCCTTACTCCTTTGAGCCACAGGTGCCACCCATGACATTTGAATTTTTTTTTCTTTTGAGACAGAATCTCACGATGTCTCCCTCTCCCTAGGTAGAGTGCCGTAACATCACAGCTAACAGCAACCTCCAACTCTTTGGCTTACGCAATTCTTTTGCCCCAGCCTCCTGAGTAGCTGGGACTACAGGCGCCCGCCACAACGCCTGGCTATTTTGTTGTTGTTGTTGCACTTGTCATTGTTGTTTTAGCTGACTCAGGCTGGGTTTGAACCCTCCAGCCTCAGTATATGTGGCCAGCACCCTACCCACTGAGCTATGGGCACCGCCACATTAATATTTCATAATCTTGTTTGTTTATCCACGTTTCCATTAATTATGTGTTTTAAATGGGAAAAGTCATATTTCTAAACTGCATTTTACTGTAATTAAAAAAATGAATCTGGGCTGGGTACTTATAGCTCATATTAGGACACCGGCCACATGCTCTTGGGCTAGTGGGTTCAATTCCAGCCTGGGCCTGCTAAACAAAACCAATAAATAGCTGGGCATTATGGTAGTCCCAAATACTTGGGAGGCTGAGGCAAGAAAATCATTTTGAGTCCAAGAGTTTGAGGTTGCTGAGACTTACAATGCCATGGCACTCTACCAAGGGTGACAAAGTGAAACTCTGTCTCAATTTAAAAAAATAAATGAAATTGTGTATGCAGAGGAAAGCAATTGGGGAGGCAAGTTAACATTGGTTATCTTTTGCTTATATGTGATTTTTGCCTCCCAGTTTAGTCTTCATTGTTATATGAACATTTTACAATAAGTATGCAATATAGTAAAAACTATGTTTAAAACTACTTTAAAGCTTTTTTCCTTTAGTGTGAAAAAAATAAGTGTTTTTTATTACTAAATAGATGAGGCTTGATTTGAAATGAATTAATTTTTTTCTTCTTTCTATAGATAATGATGAATAATCCTCAGAACATTCTTTAATCCTCAACTACATGAAAGCATTTGAGTTTGGCTCATCAGAATATAAGTTTCAGTGGGAAATACAACAATTATTTATTTAAAAAATCAGATTTAAAATGAGTATGCTTATTGCATGACAAAGATGGAAAAATATGCCATTTCGCAGCAAAGATTCTAGTATTTTATCTATTTTGCTTAAGTTCTGTAGTTGAATCCTGTAGGATATATACTTCATTAAACCACCCAACCAAACCATAAGAAACATTGACCCAGAACTGAACTTAATGGTTTGAAGATTTACTATGCAATAAGGTACCTCTGACTTTCAGCAGATGTCTTTAGGTTGAAAGAATTACCGGTGTTAGGAAAGACCTGCCTGAGGTTTTTCATTCAAGTCTTAAAACAGGACACTTTTTTTCTGTGTGATATTTGTTTTCATCCTGGCCAGCAATTCTGCATCATATAACCTTGTCAAGGGCTCTGTTGAAGATGCAATATTTAGCCTTAAGGTTTATATTCACAAGTCTTTTTTTCAACCAGTGTGTCTCCTGAGCTAGTTCAGTGAAAACAGTCTATAGAAACAGTCTCAGAAATCATTAAACAATTTGATTATGAGCAAATAGCAAGATTATATTTCCCAGTATTTGAAGAGTTGGTTTATTACCTCTGTTTCTCATTAAGGACCAGAACCAGGAATACTATGTCTAAAAATTAATATGTGGATTTTAACATTTACCTAGTTAAATGTTACCTAGTAAAGTTGCCCTCTTGGTTTTTAACTTTCTCTGATGAATATGCTTCAAGGTCAATAATGGGGTTAAAAGAACAATGGAATCATTTTTACTTTGACACTGTCAGATTTGGTAACCTGTATCCCAAAGGGAAGTGTTTGCCTTTCATGCTTCTTTCCATTAGGAGAGGATTTAGTTAAGTCATTAACATGATGGTCTCTCAGCTTTAATCGCAGTATGCCACGTATTACATGGTTTCATTAGTGACATCAGTCCAGATGTTTTTATAATAAAAGCAAAATTTTTGAAACTCCCAAGTACAAAGCAGACTGATTTGCATAATATGTAATTTGAATAATAAAATCTTGCAGCACTATCAATATATGTTGAATTTATTATGTATATTATTTCTAACATCCTAAACTAAATACTTGATTTTTATATGTTTACTTTATGATACTGTTATTAAATTTTTATCACCACCTGAAGTATACCATTGACTGTCTTTTATTTATTAGCACTTTTCTCTGTAGAAATCTTATACACACAGCTAACAATATTTTTGTTGGTTTTATACCTGATGATTTTATTTATTTATTTATTTTATTGTTGGGGATTCATTGAGGGTACAAGAAACCAGGTTATACTGATTGCATTTGTTAGGTAAAGTCCTTCTCACAATTGTACCTTGCCCCCAAAGGTGTGTCACACACCGAGACCCCACCCTACTTCCTCCTTCCCTCTCTCTACTCTTCCTTTCTCCCACCCCTCCCTCCTTCTCACTTTCTCTCTGCTCTCCCTTTCCCCCACCCCCACTGTGTCATTAATTGTCATTAATTTTCCTCATATCAAAATTGAATACATAGGATTCATGATTCTCCATTTTTGTGATGCTTTACTAAGAATAATGTGTTCTACTTCCATCCAGGTTAATACAAAGGCTGTAAAGGTTCCAGATTTTCTTTTTCTTTTTTCTTAATAGAAAATAATATGAATCCTGCACTTTAATTTTCTGCAATTCTGAACAGTGATAATTAGTAGATTATCACAACTATTAGAAAACTAAGGGAATAACACAGTAGGAAAGCAGGAAAAGAGATGACACATTGCGTTTGTGCCATCTCCCTTCAGTTGGTAGTACTGAGTGACTCTGGAGTGTTATTTTGCAAAGATCATGCTTTGGGGAGAGGCCTATCACTGTTCAGTAAGGTCAGCTAAAGGTGTTGGAGGTGACATATAGAAGCATCTACAGATTCATAGAATGTTAGAACTATAAAGGGCTATCAGGATAATTTAGTCTTATCTCCAGCTCATAGGCAATGACATTGAGTTATGACATGAAATTAAGTCATGTGTAAGTCTTGTTAAGGATCAGACCAGTTCCCAGGTCTTACATTGACACAGATTTTGTATGTGTTACATACATTAAATTACATATTCTTTTAAAATTTACCTCCTCCAGAGAATCAAAAAGAACAAATTCAATAGGAAAAATGTATATTGGTCATTAATGCATTAAGAATTCTACAGATATTTCTAGCATACTGTTTTTAGTTAACCTCTCTACTGAAGACAGTTTTATAGTCTATGGTATAGTTGGCCAAGTACAGTGACTCACACCTGTAATTCTAGCACCTTGGGAGGCTGAGGAGGGAGGGTCATGAGGTGCTAAGCTGGGAGAACTTCAAGCAGAATAAAGTAAGAGAAATGGACTAGTCTCTTCCAAATGAAACTATGGAAAATCAAAGACAAAAAGAAAAAATCTTAAAACCAAAGATTAAAAGGCACACTCTCAAAGACAGTTGATTCATTAACAATAGTAATGACACAGTGGATGATAACCATCACTAAACAAAAGGGAAACCATTTTTGTTACTGAATTTTTTTTTTTTTTTTGGAGACAGAGCCTCGAGCTGTTTCCCTGGGTAGAGTACTGTGGCATCACAGCTCACAGCAACCTCCAACTCCTGGGCTCAAGCGAGTCTCTTGCCTCCGCCTCCCAAGTAGCTGGGACTACAGGCACCCGGCCACAACACCCGGCTATTTTTTGGTTGCAGCCATTATTGTTGTTTGGTGGACCTGGGCTGGATTTGAACCCACCACCTTAGGTGTATGTGGCTGGTGCCTTAGCCACTTGAGCCACATGTGCCAAGCCTTGTTACTGAATTATTAAAAGTCACCCTTGGCGGCGCCTATGGCTACCCCATGGTAGCCACGGCACTCTACCCAGGGGGACAGCTTGAGGCTCTGTCTCAAAAAAAAAAATAAGTCACCCTTGAACAGCACAGGTTTGAACTGCACCAGTCCACTTACATATGGATTTTCTTCTGCCTCTGCCCTTGCCAGCAAGAAAGGCCTCACCAGATGCCACCTCTCAACCTCCAGAACTATAAGAAATAAATTCCTTTTCTTTATTTATTTAACAAGAAGAAAAAGAATGAACAAAAATTCTGATTCACACTACTGGCCATGATGAAATAAAAAGTAAATGGATTTGCCTATAACCTTTAACAACTAAAACAGCAGACAAAATACATAAACCAATGGTTTTCAAATAGTGGACAAAATGAGAAAGTGCCATGCCATGAGAAGAGGGAAACAAATGAGAGGAACTCTGATCTCCCAAGTTTACTGCATCGGTGGAGGTGATAGGACAGACCCAAAGTCCAGGAGTTTCTCTAAATCAAGGAGACAGAAGTTAAAATTGAGAGAGGTCAGTGTAGCCAGAATATGCACAGCAGAGAGCTACTTAGGGAGAGAAAGCACAAGAAATGTGCAAAGGGGCCTTTTAGCTGAATACTGATCAGTGAAGCACATAAGGAAACCATGTAAGATGGGGACACCAAAAAAAGCAGTGGAATAATTCTTTGAACATTACACAACATCAAGAATAGTTTGCATTTCCACCAGCCTGAGTACAAAGACCTAACACCTGGGGAATAGGGCCTAGAAAGATATTGTATGCATAATTAGTGGAGCCAAATTATCTCTAGGTAGAGGCTATTCTGGTCCTGCCTAACAAAACTTAAAAGCAACCTCTAGGAACTTAACAAAGCTCAAAAGTATTACAGAAATCCCCAAAATGTGGGCACTCAATGAAGTAAAGTTCACAGCATCAGGCATCCAGTCAAAAATTACCAGGCCTACAAAGAAGCAAGAAAATATGACTTGTTAAAGAAAAAATCTACCAATGGAAACAATACAGAAATCACACAGACAATATAATTAGTAAGCAAGCATATTAAGTCAGTTGTACCTGGGGTTTCTATATCCATGGAATTGCAGATCAAAAATACTTTTAAAAAATAACTACAGGCTCGGCGCCTGTGGCTCAAGTGGCTAAGGCGCCGCCACATACATCTGAGCTGGCGGGTTCAAATCCAGCCTGGGCCCACCAAACAACAATGATGGCTGCAACCAAAAAGAAATAGCCCAGCGTCGTGGCAGGTGCCTGTAGTCCCAGCTACTTGGGAGGTGGAGGCAGGAGAATCGCTTGAGCTCAGGAGGTAGAGGTTGGTGTGAGCTGTAATGCCACAGCACTGTACCCAGGGCGACAGCTTGAGGCTCTGTCTCAAAAAACAAAAACAAACAAACAAAAAAAAAAATACAGCAATAAATGCAAACTGTTAATATAACTATATCAAATTTACATTGCATTAGGTATTATAACTAGCCTATAGGTGACGTAAAAGGTACAAGAGGATATGCATAGGTTATATGTAAATACTGTGACATTCAATATAAGGAACTTGAGCATCCATAGATTTTGGTATCCACAGGGGTCCTGGAACCAATCCCAAGGACTACTGAGGGGTAAAAGACTACATTTAAAAGGCAGAGGAAAGCATGAACATGAAGAAAAGCATGTCAGATTTTATAACACACACCTATATACACCAAATAGAAATTCCACAGGTGAAAATGCATATGTGGCAAGCAGCAGACCAGCTCCTCAGA